TCATTATGGACACATGATCATCAATTCAAAAAATCAATTATATGTGTTTAACGACCCATTTCGTTGATAATGATTGAAAGTTGCATAAAAAGATCTTAAAATTTTATCCAATTGATAGTCATAGGGGTATGGATTTAGGCAATCTCATTGAGAAGTGCTTAATTGATTGAGAGATTGCAAAGGTTTTTACTATTACAGTTGATAATGCAAGTTCTAATAATACAACAATTAGACACTTAAAATATGTTATTAAGAATTGAGGTCATAGTATCTTAGATGAAGAATTCCTTCATATGAGGTGTGTGGCATATATTTTGAATCTTGTTTCTATTGATGGGTTAAAGCATGTTAATCTTTTGATCCTTCGTGTTCGAGCGATCATGAGGTAGGTGAGACAATCTTCGACTAGGTTGAAAAAATTTAAGGAATGCATTGAGATAGAAAAGATTGATTCTAAGAGTTTGTTACATCTAGATGTTACAACTAGGTAGAATTCAACGTGTTTGATATCGGATGCGAGCACAAAAATTTGAGAAAGCTTTTAAGAGATTTGAGCAAGTTGATCCTTTATATAGGTGTGAACTTGATGTAAATCATGGTGAAGATGTATTTGGATCACCTAATGCTAATTATTAGACGAGTTTGTAGGAAGATGGTGGTAGTGGATATTTTAAAACCCTTTTATAACCTTACTTTGCTTGTTTCGGGTTCTTTGTCCGTCATTTTTTATGCTTTCTTTAAAGAGATTTATGAGATTGAGTATGTTTTGACAAATTGGCAACAAATTTCCGAGGTTGATGATTGTTTAATGAGTATAAAAATGAAAGAAAAGTTTGATCGAGTATTAGGGAGATGCTAAGAAAATGAACAAGTTGATTTATATTACAATAATTCTTGATCCTAGGCATAAATTTTGATTTGTTTAATTTTCTTTCAATGAATTTTATGGTGAATTGAATGGTGAAATGATGGCAAATCTTGTGAGGGAATCTATATATGCCATGTATTATTCATATTGTGGGTCGGGAAGACCTAATATTTACCAAAGTGGTGCGAGAATGGAAGATGCAAATGAAGAAATGGTTGGTCGAGGGCCAATGAGTGTGGTTCGTGAGATGAAATTAAAATATAAAAAATTCAAGATTGATGTCGAAGGTGGAGAAAATAAATCGAAGTTGGATAGGTATTTGATGAAGTTGTCGAAAAAAAGGATAAAGATTTTGATATTTTGATGTGGTGGAAAAACAATTATGCTCGATTTTCCATTCTTTCTCAAATGGCTCGTGATGTCTTGACGGTTCCAATATCAACTGTTGCTTCAGAATCTTTATTTAGTACTCGGAGGAAGATTTCTTAACTCTTTTAGAAGTTCTTTAACTCCTAACATTGTCCAATCTCTTATATGTGCTCAAGATTGGCTTCGACATTCATTGACACCAATTAATGTTAAAAAAGATTTGTAGGATCTTTACAAAACCGAAGTGGGTAGTTTTCTTAACTCTTTATCTTTTCATTTGTCATTTTTTTATTTAAAATGTTTAATGTTTAATAATGTTAAAGTGTTGATTTATTTTTTATTTTTTTATTTTTGTTAGATATAGCGACACTTTCTTTGGTGCCAACCATGATAGATGTATGATGGATTAATGGTGTTTTGGTCGTTTGGATGACATGGGTAAGTTTTTAATTTTTATTTGCTTGATATATTAATTTTTCCAACTTGAATATTTTGATAGATTATTCGATTAATGAGTGTTTTTTTTTAAGAAATGCCAAGATTTGAAAGTTGAAAGTTAATGTTTGTATTTATATTATGGTTTAAGGATGTTTAATGGATTGCATTTAAATTTTTAATTATGGATGATTTTATATGGATTGTGTGAATTGCATTTTAATTATGGATGTTGGTTTATGGATTGTATTTTAGTTATGGATGATGTTTGGATCAATACTATAGTGTTTTGTTTTGGTTATTTGGTATGTATTATATCTAAACAATATTTGCTTATTCAAGTATGTTTATTTATGGTTTAAGTTGACAAATGCATGCTGGCCAATTCATGTTTTGTAGGCATTCACAATTGGGAAATCTTAATTTTGTTACATATAGTGTTTTGTTATGGTTTATATTGATAACCAAAAGGTAGTAGCAACTTGTCCGGAGATACATGTGAGTCGGCATAAAAAGTATTTGGCATAAAAGTATTCGAGTGGAAAGTAAAAGCAATGTTTTCAACTTTGCACAAAGAGGTATCGTGGTAGTATGCCATTTTGTAATTGATGAATAAATTGGTCTTAAATTGCAATGATGTACAACTCGTGAATTCCGTTTTGGTTTATGTTTGAATTGTATGTGATTTCACATGTTCTTATTAATTAGTAATTAAATGAAGCTTCACTTTCTCTCCTTTTTGCTTACTTGGTCCTTATTTAGAATAAACTAAAAGGTAATGCATTGGATTTGAAAGCTATTGCTCCATATGCTTACTCAAAAAGACATCCCAACATGAATCTATTTGCTAGGTTGGTTTCAAAAAAAAAAAAAACGGTTTTAAACAAAAAATCAAATCGAAAATTTGCTTTTTAACCGAAAAACCGAACCTCTATTTGGTTAGGTTTCAGTTTCTTTTTTAATAGATTCGATTAACTAAAAATAAAAAAAAACATCAAAATCGAATCGAAAAACCAAATGATCACGTCTAATTATGTGTTTTAGGATTGGAGGATGACTACCTCTCCTTTTATAGCCCACTCGCCCGTTGAATTGAAAAAAAAAAAAAACTATATTCTACTATACTATACTATAAAGTATAAATTATTAGGCCATATGGAATTTCAAATGACATCATAGACTTAAGTGTGCGTTTCGCTAGCATTGAGAGTAGGCTATAATTGTAAGTGTAGTTGTGGTTGTAGTTATAGCTATTGTTGCGGCTACAAAAAAAATATTGGGTAAAATATGTGTTCATTAATATATTTAAAATTATAAGAAAAATTGTATATATATATTAAAAAAAAAACAATTACCATTATTGAGAAGAGTTTTTCATCTATTGGGTTTTTTAGCATGGAGCCCAAATAGACTTTACATAAAAATTGTTTTTAACCAAACAAGCGTGTTGGATTTTGGGTCAAAATTCACTACTACCTTTATCCACAAACTACATGAGTTGCAATAATGTTTGATAAAAAAAAAAAAAGTATACATGATTTTTGTTCCTATGGCTTCATAAACATCCCATTCTACTCATATAGTTTAAAAATTAACAATGTCACTCTTTCTATAATTTTCTACAATGTCCATATTATATCTTAAATATTAAATAGCTTGCCTTTTGAATTCGAGTGTTTGAGTTTTTTTAGGTATTAAAGTGTTTTTGTGAAATATTATAACATTTATAAAGATTTGAGAGGAAAAAATTATAAAAAACATGAAAACTAATGATTTCATCATACATAATAACAAGTGGATGATGCTTATTACCGTGATGGAGTTGAAGCTTTAGCACGAGTAAAGTAATAGAAATTCTCTCTCTAACCACCACTCTTTTCCCGACTCGATAACATAAAGTCTCACTACACTTTTTAATAAAAACTAGGCACTATAACTCTAACAAAAACTAAATAGATATAGAAAAAAGAACACTTTTTAATAATTATTTAGTAGCAAACAATAAAATAAAAATTATTCAAAATCATAGGCGTAGTATTGAGAAATTCCAAACCATAAGGATAGAAATGGAATATCAATAAAACTATAAGGAAAAGAATATAGTTTGCTCAAGAAATAGAAAATGATTATTTTATTTATTTATTTCATATATATTAGTTCTGACTGGGCTAGGTCTAATGGTTTGTTGAACCTTATATGTAGTTCTAAGTCTCCATGACTCCATCCAGGCAAAGAACAATAACTGGGTTAGGCCCATTTACAGATGAAACATCTAAAACCCTTCTGATTCTCTTCAAATTAACAAACACATACAAAAATGGGCCAGCCTTTTATAAAAGCAGCGCCAACCCTAAGAATCCTAATACTTTCTTCATCGGCTCCGCCTCCCCTTTGCAGCTGTAGCAAAATTCATTCTCTGAGCCTGAGGTAGTTCAAATCTCTCTTACTTTCTTGATCTATAGCCTTTTTGTTTTGCATCTCTTTTTCATGTCATGCTGTTGTTCTTGAAGGTTTTAATCTGTATATGTATTTTTTTACGCAAATCTTGCTTTTTGTATTAAGTGGATGTGAAACTTGTGCCTGTTTGTTGCCTATGAGCTTGTTATTTATTGAATCAGAGTCTTTTGGCTTTAGTTTTGAAAAGCCATTTTGGTTGTCTGTGTTGACTCTTCGATTTGCACAGCTGGGTCTCTCTTGTAATTACTGTAGTAGTGCTATATGAACTTGACACAGATAGTGACACAGCTTTCTGTCTGTGATTCAATTTGAATAAGAAATTTCAATTGTGGAGCGCAAGCGGAATAATTACCAATATTTTTATGTCTTTCTATTTCTCTTTTTTTTTTTGTGATTTTTTCCTTTTTTTGGTGGAGCGGGCTTTGGATTTAGGGGCTTAGCAGTTTTTCTCCTACATGTCATGAAGTCTAACCTAAGGACTTGACAGTGAGCTGGGACCTGGGGAAATGGCAGGACTCAATACCGTCATTGGGATACTTTTTTCTTTGTAATATGTACTCTTATGCTCATATTTGGTTTACTATTTTGTAAGTTAACTGAACATGCAAAGAAGAGCTTTTTCTTCTTTAGTTTTGAAAAGCCATTGTGTTCCATTGTCATCTGTATTATAAATTGACATTGGGGAGGTTTTTTGTTTGTATTTGTGTCAGATGCATGAGTTGGTTGCATCAGAAACTGATTAGAAAAATTTCAGGATTTGGTTTTTGGATAATTTTTTTATTCTTTGTAATCTGTAGTATTCTCTTGATGGTTTGAATGTTTGCCTTATTTAAGATGATTGATATTAATTTAATATTTTCTATTTTAGGCAATGCCTTCCAAACAGCCAAATACTGGCCTCTTTGTGGGATTGAACAAGGGGCACATTGTGACTAAGAAGGAACTAGCTCCACGTCCCTCTGATCGCAAAGGAGTAAGTTATTTTACCAAGTGATTTTGAATGTGACTGCTTTTTCATTTTTATGTTCTGATCATGCTATTTCCTGTTTACTCTGGTATTGTTTAGATGAACTTGTTCTGGAGTGTATTTTATTCTTGTATGAGTGTAAAGCTGCATTTCTGTGTGATGCTGTTTGATTACAGTAATTCGTACCTTCAATTTTTTTTTTCCTGCTTATAATCATGTTTCTGTTCTTTTGATTTGTCTCTGGGACACTAGATCTACATTTGCCCATCATATGAACTACTATTTGTGAGAGTATATAGGTTTGTATTGTATTTGTATAACAAGTGCGTGTTTATGATGCTGTTTCTTCTTATGCATGTCTTGAGTGCAGAAATCCAGTAAGAGGGTGCTCTTTGTTAGGAGTTTGATCAGGGAAGTTGCTGGTTTTGCACCTTATGAGAAGAGGATCACTGAGCTTCTTAAGGTTGGAAAGGATAAGCGTGCGTTGAAGGTAGCTAAAAGAAAGCTGGGCACACACAAGAGGGCTAAGAAGAAGCGTGAAGAGATGTCAAGTGTTCTCCGTAAGATGAGGTACATTTTGGGGATCTAATTTGTTACTTGTTTTAGTTTTTAGTGGTTATTGATAAATTGGTAAATTCACTTGAAATCCAAGCTTTTATGCTGCCTGGAAAGATTTCTTATTTCCTTTGGGTGTATTTTTTCCTACAGGGCTGCTGGAGTTGGTGAGAAGAAGAAGTGAGGCATTTGGATGTCTTAAACTTACTGGCTCCTCACGCTTGTTTAGATTCTAAGTAGTTGGAGGGTGAATTTTATTTGAGACTGGATGTTCATCTCAGATAGGAAGTTTCATTTTAATTTGCTATAGATTGTTCTGTTTTATATGAGAATTAAATTGTGTCCTTTATCTGATCTGAAATCTGAATGTCTTAGCTTTTTTGGATGTGTTGATTATGACAATTTGCTTGATCGTTTTAGCAACGCTTCTCACTTCTTTCTCGTTGCAAAGGCACATGGAATGTTGTGAAGTGCTTGGTTGTAGAAGGATGTATCACTTGCACTATCAATGTTGGTTTTAATTTGCAATGATGAATAGTTTGTATTTGTATAGCATGGTGGCCTTCAAATAGATGGTTTTTCGCACGCATCTGCATCACCCGAGAATTGAGATGGTTCGTTGGATTATTTTGTGGAGGATGAGGTAATACATCAATTGTTAAGGGAAGTGGATGGGATAATTTGGAACCTTAGAAGCCAGTTTAAACTGATTATTCCAAAAATGTATTACTTTTTCGAGCAGCAAGTCAACAACCTTGCTTCCTGCATCAACAATAAACTGTCTAATTAAGTGGTGTGGAACTTTGCTGCTCCTTGGAAAATGATATCGACAGCAATTGCCAGCAGAAGCGGACACCAAATGATAACACACAGGAAAACTTACCTTTTGGAACTTCTTTATTCTCCATCATGCGTGAATCAAATGACAACACATGAAAACTAACCTTTTGCCCACTTTTATTCTGGCATCATGCACGAATCCTAATTGCCTCGTTGAAGAAAATTATATCATAAGAGACCTAGCAGCGTATCCCATTGTTTGCACAACAAATCCTAACTTCAAAATTAATGCAAATATTCGCGATAATGCTACAAGAGAAACACTACAAATTAATTACACGATGAAACTGGGATTATTCACATATGCATGCTATGGCATCGCCCCAACTTGATCAACTAAAGAATTACAAGAGAATTTGCTTCTTATGAACTGCCACACAGCTTTCAAGATGATCAAGAGTGAGTCCAGTTATCATAACCATTCCAAACAGCTCAATCCAACAACTCCTAGTAACTCAGAAACAAGATGATTTGCTTCTGATGAACTTGCACAACCACCTAAAATTATCAAGTGTCGCTCCAAGTATCATCGTCTTCCCCATCATCACTTGCAACAGCCTGACATGTTTTCTAAGTGTTAAATTGTTTGTTAACCATAACAAGAGAAACAAATTTAAACCAGCAGAAGACTGTGTGAGAAAAAAACGAATACCTGGCGGATTGCATTTGCTTTCTCCAAAATTGCACTGACATTGTTATTCGCTGTGGGACCTGAAGATAAAGTTGGCTTTGCTGTTGCAGTGCGTCTCAGAGTGAATGACTGTGACAGCACATCAAAGAATAAAGGGCAAACTTGTGAGCGTAGAACTCATAAGATTCTCTCATCACACAGCAACTAGTGAGTAAGTATATAACTACGTGGAATTCAGTAAAGCCTTCACCATTCGTTTCCATCACAACTGTCAATCTCCTACACATCTTAGAAGTTCTCTCCTTTTCTGGTTAACAGTGGTGATGTTAAAGGATATTCATCAAATTTGGTACTGAGCACGTACAGTGGGGATGAAATTTGAAGATGATTGTGGGTGGAAAGTTTCATGCTTCATTGAAATGGATGAATTAGAGATGATCATGATGAAATTTTAGCTATACATGATGAGCTAGAATAGTGCTTGTTTTGAATGTTAGTAGTGAGAAAGGTTGTTTGATCCCAGCTTCTCATCAGCATACTCCATTTGCAATTTTATGAGGATGGTATTGAGATTTATTGAAAAACTTATTAATAAGCAGTTGGGATGGGTGAGTTAAATAAATACAGTGTCACTGTGTCATAGCTCATAGGTGCAGGGTTTCACTGAGTTTCATATCCCAAAACATACAAAAGCATTTGGTTCTTCACATGCACCAAGGTCTTTTAAAATTAACATATGCATTCCTTAGTTGTCAGATAAGTGGATCCTTAACAATTTGCAAGAAGATTCCATAGTCTAATAATGCATGTAGCTAACCATACTGTTTCTGAAAATAGCTTGAAATTATCAATAACTAATCTCTTTCTAGTTCTTTTGCCTTCTCATTTCAAATTAGTCTCACATGTGAACTAATCACTTCATAGTACTTAAATTACGCAGAGCAGCCAAACTGCAATGAAGAAAAAAATGGCTTACTCACTTTGGTTCTGATTTGATGCAAAAAATCTTCCTTTTCATCTACATCCTTGCCATTTGAGGATTGATTAGCTTCTTTCTGCCAATTTAACTTCTGCTGATCCTGTTGCTGCAGACACAGAATCCCATGGCAAAGATTTAGTCCACGTTCCTTGTAGTGCTAAATGAAATAGATTGAAGCCAATGAATGATTATATCATTTGTATCGATGAATCATACCTTGCTTTTTGGTTTAAATGCAATCATATCCTCATTTCTTTTCTGATCATCAGCTGGGGATGGCTTAGGTTGCCTAGGTAGAGTAGATTCCAAAAGTTTTATATCCAATCCATGTTCATGAGCTTCGGGAGCATGTTGTTTGCCTTCTGATATATCAGAGTGGGCCTTTGAAACTCGCCATTGAACAGGTGGAAGAGGTGGTGGCAATTGGGTGGAATCTCTAAGATAATCCTGATTCCTTTCATCCAAATTATCCTTTGTTTCTCCATACACTACAGAATTCATGGCATCAAAACATGGCAGATCCAATGAAGAAGCAGAGAGTGATGGATCTGCACCATTCTCGGTATATGTACTTTGAAGTCCTCTGTCAATGCAGATACCATTATTGCCAGCTTCCCCAGGCTGCAGATAGCTTGAAAAAGATTCAACTGGAGATATTCTGCGCAAAGCATCATATAGCTCATGATCCTTGCTTTCTGGAGACTCGTCAGATTCCCACTGCTCAGAATCTGATTCAGAGTGATGGCTAAGACAATCATCAGACATATAAGGAGATGATCTACAGAACGTATCATCATCAGATTCAGAACCCACATTGTGCAGTGGAATAGCAGTCTCTGGAATCAATTGAAATGATGGGAACATGTCTCTAATGCTTTCATCACCGCGGTTCCCATTAGGAAACTTCAGTTTCAGTTTGGAATCCTCAAAGCCATGGATAGGGTGGAAAGATATTCTCATATGTTCCAATGGTGGTGAAGACATCAGTGAATCGATAGAATATTTACGTCCAAACTGCTCATTATATGCTTTCTCTGGAGTTGCTTGATATGTAACTTCATTGTGCCAGCTCTGCTGCTCTAATGCACCAGTTCTCAGTAACCTAGCTGGTTCATGTTCACCATCATGGACCAGTGACATCTTTCTACTAAAACCGTTAACAAGTAACCTATGGCCAAATCCGAGCCACTGAGATGAGTTTTCATCATTTTCCTCACTGGATTCAACAGGTGTCACTTTGGAGTCTGAATCATGCCGCAACTCATTTCTTGGCGTTACTTCACTGGTAATATTTAGTCCATCCTCATAACCATGACCAAACCTATTGCCTTGATGAAAACCTCCAGGTTTTTCAACTTTGGTATCATGATCATCATGCCATGATGTGGAGCCTTTGGAACTTGGAGCCCTTTCAATGCTTCCTGCATCCTTAATCAATCCAGGTTTTCCTCCATTGTTGCTTGACATGGAAGTGTGATTTGGAGGCAGCGATGCCTCAGCTTTACTTCTGGTCACACAATCTGGACTTGTAGCGTTTGATACAGCAAAATCTGGAGGCTTTGAAGGCTCAAGTCCTAACAGGCCACCATTTGTCCAGAGTGTAGTAGAACGAACACAGGAAAAATCATCCTGAGATTCTCGAGACTTGTTGGGACTGCTTATGGTTTTATCACTCAATGGTTCTTGTACATTTGAAATTGAAGTTACAGAGACAGAAGACAAAGGATCACTAACAGATTCTACTTTTGAATTATCAAAGACATCAGCACTTGTAGAACATTCGATGCCTGGTGAACTGTCCAACTCAGAAGATTTTTCAGAAGTATGAGATTCCTGTTCGTAAGCAAAACTCTTCAAGGAAACTGAGCTGGGTAACTCACAGGGAATTTTTTCGTTTGAGGAAATAACAGATAAGGTGCGAGATTTATATTCAGATGGATGATGGTCTGAAATATGTGATGTTGCCTCTTGTATTGTATCCTCAACTTCATCGTTAACACTGGAGGAAAATTGCTCCACTTCATGTTTTGTTTGGCAATCGATATCATTTTCAGATTCTGACTCTATGGTGTTCAGTGCATCCATGAAATCGTCTGGTTCGCTTTCAACCTCATCAAGCTGGCTCCTACTAGAGCTCGATTTTGGAGTATTTGCATCATCGAGTACAATACTCAGAGGATTATGATTTTTAAGATTGGCAACTTGTGTATCTAGGTCAGGCTCTGCTGCAAGTACCTCCGAAATTTCATCTTCATTACAATGTTGACCACTAGGCTCCACTATTTCTGCCTTCTCATCCCAGGTAACACAACATGAAATAGGGGCAGCAATCTGCTCTGGTGATGAAGTACGACAAAAATTGTTATCTGCAATCCCAGGTTGTTCATCAGGAAAAACAGAATCAGGAACATCACTGTGCTGCATGAACCTTGAAGACAACTCCTTAGGTTCCTCTTCTTCAGCTTGCACTGAGGAATTTAGATGGAAAACACATTCAATATACCCTGACCCAGCTTTTGAACCAAAAGAATTGGAATGATCACCCACATCAGATTTTAATGTCATGTCGATTGTAGAATCCGTATGAGAAGGAGAGGTCTGCCCATTATCACTTGGATTAGTGGTACACTGTATTCTGCAGAGCCAATATCATGTACACATTAAATTCATCAAATTGAAGATGACAGCACTAGTTCCCTCCATAAAGATACAATACCTGCCACTATGATTTGACATTGATGCATAATGAGCCAAGTCTCCATTCCTTTGCGATGAACGTTTTTTCTGTTCATTTTGGCATTTATAATCAGTAGAATTTGAAAGAGAGAGAAGAGGGTAAAAAAACAGAGGCAAGCAACTATTTTATTAAGCATATGCTGAGCGACAAGGTAATAAATAAATTAAGATCTAGTGAAAACCTGAGAAATCCAAATAATGAGCAAGAACTCTTTCCATCAAGCAAAAAAAGTATGGAGAAACATGTGAATATTATTTGTGGGAAAAATAGTTTCCCAATTGATTGTGATTATGGAGAAAATTAGTTCATTAAATAAATTCAAGAGTATATCACAGGATCATACCCTATCAATTGAAAGAAGCACTTTTTGCAATGATTGAAATCTGTTATAGAGGAAAAATACCTTGCTTTTCCGAGCTCTCTTATCTTTTGGAACTTTCTCAGCATCCGGTTCTGTAACATTACTAGATACTCTCCTGAAGTAAGTCGGATCTGAATATCTCTTTAAACAAGACCCTGGTCCACCAGTATCAAATCTGAATGGCAAATCAAAAAGGGTTAGTATCTAGGATCAAATTGAAATTCATTATTCAAATACACTAATCAATTCACCCAGGAGGCTAAGGAGAGGGGAATGACCATACTTGTCAAGCAAGTGTAAACGCGGAGGATCGCGACATTCTTCATAGGATTCCATAATGAATCGCGGCAGGTCATTGTAGATGAAATGATTTTGTTCATTTTGAATACGAGGATGCCACTCAGTACCTGCAAGATAGCTGTTTTTTATCAGCATTTGAATAACTAGAGATTAATGCAAAAAATAGCAGCAATAGAAACTTGATTATGGCATATGGGGCGAAGCTTCTATTAACAACTTGAGCTACAACAAGTGAATGGAGGGTAATGGAAGTTGTCTAACATCTACAAGTTTTTCATATGCTCATATATCTCAAAACTTGTGCCAATAGATACAGATATGAATTGAATACTGAGTATTTAGGCATCATGAAAGTGCACTAGACAGGTGATGATAAAAAGTGGTGATTAGCATCTAAACTCTAATTATTAAGGTTGTAACAGCTTTGCAAAGGAAGTCATGAATAGCTAAAAGATATGAATCATATGATAACCAAACAGTCTTAAGAGAAGAAAGCCAGAGTATGCTAGATGGATTGAAATCAGAAAGTCTCAGAAAAGGTAATGAGCCATACCAGCTGTGTAAGCAAAGTGTATGTGGCTTGTTTGGGCAAGCACCACCTTTTCAAGAGGAGGCAGTGCAGTTTCAATGTTTTGCACGCGAACCATCAATTTATGACTTCTAGAAGCTGTAGTTATCACTTGCTCCTGTAAGCCATGAAAAACCTCTGCCGCAAATCTACAATCAGGTCAAATATGCTATTTCAATCAGTACTTTCTGATAATCAACAACGCACACTGATAGTCTAATAGATGACAAAACTAAATTTTTGTTTAGTCAGATTAGCCATTTGAAATTTTGTAGTCAAAATAAATTCAATCCACATCAAGTTTCAACAAAGATTCGGAGTCAATTTGTGAAATCGTTTATCTATGACAACTTAGAGCTTCATGTAAACACATAAAATTAAACATCAACCATTAGAACAAGAAGCTAACTGAAAACACAACGAGAGGCATAAATTTTGCTTGCTCACTTCAAAAAAGAAACAAAAGAACTAAATGGGAGGGCTGCAGGGAAATTTAAAGTATATAGTTCACAACTTGACTGAGTAGATGAAAAATACTCACAAGGAAACAAACCTAAAACCATACTTGCAAGATAAACTGCTAGTGCAAGGATCCCATTCATAACGTGACAGCTAAATAGCTACAACAGTTTGCTCTCAGAATAGGTGATCCACATAGCGAGAGAAATATAATATTATTACCCTCTGAAAAGCAGATTTTCAAGAAGGAATGAATGAATCACCGAAGTGAAGGCAATGAATCATCATGTTCAATTTTATTGTTTTTTTTTACTTAACAAAATATCTCTTCTAGCACACAAAATCAAGAATTATTAAAACACAGCAAAAATCCACCAAAGAATTTGAAAATGATTTCTCATTTCACTAAATTAAGAATCAAACCACCTAAGCAGACCAATCATGCAGTTAACAAAACACTTAAAAATCAGCAAACATTTCGCACCAATGTTTCCTTTTTAGTTGAATTAATAGCACAGTCACCTCTTTAAACATGCAAGAATTAGAAAGTTAACAGAACAATAAGAAAAAAGAAACAAACCAAAAAAAAAAAAAAAAACTAATTCAATAATAAGATACCAAAAAAAAAAAAAAAGGAAAAGAGAGAAAAGAAAAAGAAAAAGAACAAACTCGGCAAGATCGCCTAATTGACGCAAGATCCCAACTAAACCAGCAACAGCAACACCATCAAGCACAGCTTTTGGATCTTCACGGTTTGCTTCTCTATACAGCTCACCCTGTCCTAACCCGTACTCATTTCTCACTTCAAACCGAACCAAAGGCATTCTTTTTTCTTCTTCTTTTTTTGGTTTTTCTCCTCTCTCTTAAATTCCAGATTCTCCTCTAGTACAGATGCAGCAGCAGCAGCAGCAGCAGTATTAGTAATGTGTTCGAAATTGAATGAATGAATGAAAGGAAAAATCAATGAAGAAATCAGAGAGTAGGTGAAGGAGATTGGAGCAGCTTAACTGCCAGAGATAGAGCAGACAGACACTGCCTTCCTTTAAAAAAAAAAATTAATTATTTTTTGAGAGCTAAGCTAAGCTAAGGGATTCGAAGGTTTTTTTAAAAAATTTAAAATTTTTATTTTTTGAGAGCTAAGCTAAGCTAAAGGATTAGAAGGTAGAGAGAACAGGGCAAATAGGCAGTAGATGTACATTTACATTGCCAACTCTGCAAGCCATTCTTTCTCTTTCCTTCCCAAAACCAAAACAAACAAAAAAAAGGGAATGGAAAATTTTTAGTATTATACTATTTTTTTTGTACAGTGAGACTGTGCTTGATAAGACAGAATTGCCCTTGATTTTTTTTTTTTTTTAAATTGACTTGGGTATCCTCGGTAACTGTGACTGAGAGGGATAGAGGGTTATTACTTTCTGCATGATTCCGACTTTCCGAGGATGGCACAAAAGTGGGGACGTTAGAGTTTAGACAACGTGGATTCCATGAATTCTTTGGATTTTTGTTTTTGTTTTTGTTTGGTTAAAATTGTAATTCAATGTGGTAATGATTTGTTTATATCATGCTAATTGATTGATATTTTTCAGTTTTTCTATCACTTTCAGGTTTCCATTTAGCAATTTTTGAGTGGAAGAGAGATTTCCCAACATGGAGTAGGACTGTAAGGAGTAGTGTAGAAGAGGGCAAATGGAATTTAAGAAGGGAGAGCGATGTTTCTGAATATGTTCATCAATAACAATACATCACAAGAAGGGAGAGGGGTCCCCATCACTAATCCTCAACCCTGAAACAAAAACATTGGTCTTCACTTTCACTCATGTTTGGTTAATGTTAATTGCTTAAGAATCGATAATGCTTCTATCTTTTTGGATTTAGTTCCTAAAACATCCATGTTGTTTAGAAATACTTGTTGGGTGAGGACTGAGGAGTAAGGAACCTTCCACGTTTAGCATCACGGTCAAATTGGAAAGTTGTTGCTAACTTCCACACTTGCTTAAAGAATCAAATTATGCTAATTTAATCTTATTTCCATCCTTTTAGCAATTTTTGCAAATCGTACCAAATTTTATTTCAATCATCTCTACATTTCATGAGAAAGATATTTTATCAAGGTTTTATATTTTCTTCGTTTAAGAAGATATTATCCGAAATAAAAATTTAGCTAATTAGGAGCTAACTTCTAATATGTGCTTTAATTTTTTACTTTTTTTATTTTCAAATGAATAAGCAACTTTTCCGCCATAGAATAGCATTCAAAAAGAACTATATTCATTCTATTCTCTAGCCTACTCAATATATATCAAACAAATCCACTACAAGTTTTTTTCAAACTCTAAGCTTTGCAATTATATTTTCTTTCAAACTCTATTTTTTATTTTGGTAAGTTTAGTATTTCTTTTGTAGCTTTTTCATTATTTTTAAGCTTTATTTATTGTTTCATTTCTACATTTATTTATTCTTTTTTTACAGTTTTAACTATTTTGTTGTTGTTCATTTGTTTTTATATTTATTTGGCATTTTATTTTCTATAATTTGTTTTCGTAAGTTTATTTTTTTAATATAATTCTATGTTTTATCATTATTTTTATCCTATATTTATCATTTAGCATGAGATGTGCATATAAATATATTTTTTCATACCACAATCACAAAATGAGTGCAAGAGAAGAATAAAAAGAGTGAGCAATAATAATTAGTATGAAATGGAAGAAGTTACTTGTGAAAAAAAAAAAAAAAAAGCTTTATTGCATACATTCAAACTTTCCACAACAACGTAAGTTCCAAAATGCTCGAAATGCTTCTAATCATAGTAAATTCAAATATGACAAAGATAATTTCTATATTGTGATTATTGTGAAAAAATACTTTCTCAAACAACAATTCCTTATAATAATACGTCAATATTGATTGTAAGTATAAACCAATAAAAAAACTTGATAGCTTTACTTACAAATTAAGATTTATGGAGATGGTTATACATCATTTTTGTAGTTCAAGGTTCATTGTTTTATAATTACGTGGAATGCATATATTATTAGATAGAAATTACATGATTTTTTTGTCTTGTATTTATTGATCTAACCTATAACCAGATAATAAACTAAATCTAACTACCTAGCAATTTCTCATTTGACTTTCTCCCCCTCTTGGTGATTTTGGAAGATGTTACAGAAGGAAAATATATAAGAATATGTGAAGATGCGACAATATCTTTAATAAGTTTTATTTATATTTTTCTTCTGTTGCTTTTTTCTTTTCCACGTTAGATATTTTAAATTCCAGCATTCCTCTTTATATATCATAGCAATTATTTATCATTATTTTTTTCTAAGACAGCCATATGGACAAAAACGTTTTATCCTCTCTAGTTGATTGGCTCTAGTTCTCTTCCCTTGTGCCAAACAATTATGTTTGTGCCTTTGCCTTTCTCTTTTTTTTTTCTTTTTTTTTTTTTCATTGTAAGACGTGGTCTTGTACCACCCTACACCTTGTGTGCTGAGCTCATTTTCTTCCCATAGGCTTGTTACTTGCACTTTAATTCTTCAAAGCATACTCTCTTTGCCTTCTCGAGTTTTTTTTTCATATTTAGATTTTGTATTTTTTAAATTTTTTTTATCAATGAGATATTCTATTTTTTTACTTGATTGAAACTTTTTATTTTTTTAAATATTTGATTTCAAATTCATTTTTATAATACCATTAATCGAGTAATAGATACTACGTGTTGATGACGTTATAATAGAGAATCTGAAAAAAAAAAAAAAGTCTCAATTAATTCAAAAAAGAATAAAAAGTCCCAATTAAAAAAAATTAAGAGTACAAAATCTAAAAGTGAGAGAAAACCTTTTTCTTTTTAAATGTGTTATCTTAATTTCGTTAAGAGATCTATCCATTTGTATTGTAATTGTCAAATCTAGTCTAGCAGGATGAATTGATCTGAAAACTTAATGACTCGAGATATGATTTGAGCTGAATTTATAATTAGACGAGTAAAAATTGATTCGGCGAAACCTAGTTGACCGGATCTTATTTCACCAAGTCGAAAGTTGAAATTAAAAAAAAAAAAATACTTAGAATAAGATTTGAACCTTGATCCTCTTTTATTAACTAAAAGAGCTAGGACAATTTACCCAAATCAGTACACATGATACAATTTAGTTTTAATATATATATACTGCTTTGATATTATATATTACAGAATTGACCAATTGGATTTACACCCTAACCGAAAAGGTTGACCCATGACTTGGTGACCCGAAGCCTTGGGCGGGTCCGAATGATTTTTATTCTTTAAAATAAAATTACCAATAAGTTCATTTTTCACAACTAAAAGACCGATAAGTTATATCAAGACAATTTTTTACTAATAAGTTCATGTTTAAAATTTTTATCCTTAAAAAAAAAAAAAAAAATCAATTCTCAATACATTTTCTAAATTACCCATTAAAACATGAATTATCAATTAAAAGCTTTTTAAAAACGTTTTCTTTCTTATAGAAAACAACTTTAAGAATTCGAAAGGAAATTCATTATTCCTTCTACAATAAAAGAAATATAAATTTAAAATTTAGATTATTTTGTTCTAAAAAAGGTTTATCTCAAATAATAATATTAAAATTATGGATTTCTAAATACAAAAGAATTTTCTATATCTAACATATAAAGTTAATAATTATAAAACTAGTTTTTAAAAAGAGTTTTATAATTTAATAATGATAGAATTATTTTCTAAAAGGAGCTACTATAAAAGAATTGTAGCTTTAAATGAAACTACAAAATTATTGAATAAATTAATTGCAGAGCCCTGTAATTAAAGTTATACATGTTAAGGGAAAAAATGAACGCATTTTATTTAACAAAAAGTAATGATAGTCATATATTCACTTTTATAATTGAGTTGGTAATTATAAAATAATGGAGGAGAGATTGATGACGTAAAGTGCTAGAGTACAATTTATGAAGTACGTAAAAATTGAGCTTTTTTGAAAATTAAGGAAAATTCAAATATGAATCGAACTTATTGGCAAAATAAAAAAAAATATGAGATTATTAAAAATTTGGTGTGCGTATTTTTTGGATTTTTTCTATTTGAATGTGTTTATTTTTATTTTTATGTGATTTTGTTTTAAAAAAATTCTAACCAAGTGGTTCCGTTTAATATATATTGACGTTACCATTAAATTATCGATACATGCATGACATGTTGAAGTTTACGTAATGTATGCATGAAATTTCTCCCTTTTTTTCCTATTTAAGTGAATATATATATATATATATATATATATGAAATTACAGACACTCAAATATATAATTTCAAAAAGTGATCAATTATGTGCTTCTGATTCTACAAAGTAACAAATATTAGCGTTGCGTATTTATGTATATGGCCACTTGTCCAAGAAAACATTTTGATTAATTCATTTTCTTCTATTTTCTTACAAATGAAACAAATCTACACTGCTAATTTAAAAGATAACAATACTGATTCTTTTTTGGATAAATTTTAATTTGTCTTCCGAAGGTTTCAAGGTTTTTAATTTCTCTCATGAGAAATTCGTTTATATCAATTATCTTCATGAACTTTTATCAAAGTTTCAATTCTTTCCTTCCATATATTGAACCAATATAACTAATAATGTGACATTTTTTATGTTTCAATTGACTTCCTAAAGTTTTAGGATAAATATACATCAATTTGTTCTTATATAATCTCTAAAGTCTCCTATTTATTCTTAAGTTTTTAATTGCATCTCATGTATTCTTGAAATTATTTTGAATATTCAATATGTTATTTCAATTAATTTTTTTGATTATAAAAATTTTT